AAATTAACTGAATCATTATTCTGCAATTCAATAAATTATTAACTTCAGCATGATCAATATAATGTTTATTATTTATAAAGATAGTCTAAGGTCTGGTAGATATGAAGGTGCTAATCAATTTATAAGTTAAAACTTACATTAAACAACAAACCTTAAATTATCTTTACTTTTACATTCTAATTAAAGTTTTATTTCTAATTATAACTCATACAAATATCTGTTAAACTTTTTATTCTATTAAAATCTTAAGATATTTTATATTATTTAGATTTAATAGATATGATTTCTTACAAGTAGCAGAAGTCTTTCAATGTTAGCAAATGAGTAACTTATTTTGAAATTAAAAGAAAGTTTGGAAAATCTAATTGTATTTAAAAATTTTAAAATCAGAAAATGAAATAAAAGATTTTTATTTAATAAAATAAATATACAAAAATGATTATTTCAAATTTATTAAAAAATTAAATAATGTTGATATATTCTCATTTATAAATAAATATGTTATTTATTTTTGTTAAAATTGAATTTCTATATATTAATTTTAAACCTTCTATTGGTTGAAAACTTGACTTATTGAAGATTTGCTAACATCTAAGCTTTTAGTAGTTGTTCAAATTTATAACCTTTCTAAATTTTTTTTGACTCAAAAGTATACTTAACTAGAGTTATATCAGTATTGGTTATATGTAAAGATAAAACACCATACAGCCTATACAGCATTTTTTGAGACTGCACAGTGCAATTTTTATAATTCTGGTCAGCTTTATAATCCAGGTTTGAATTACCAATCAGAAATTAATTCAGATTCATCTAAAAGAAAAATTAATCTGCATTTCTGATTAATAAAATCTATTATTCATAATTCTGGTCAAACTTACAAATCATTTGATCACATTTAAAGTTGGTTTTTTTTAGATCTGACAATGTTTAAACTAACCTTAGAGTATTAATTAAAAATAATGTAAGCCAACTTTATATATATGAAGTAGATGTTTTATATATATAAATGCAAAACTCAATAAGTAAAAGTTTCTAAGAACTAAGATTGTGCAGGCTGCATAGTAGATTCAAAAAACTTTGATTTTCTTATCTCTAATTATATGGTCATTACAAATTAATTAGCATCTACATATATATCTGGTTTTAGACTATCTTATAAATAATAACTATTATATTAATCATAACAAAATAATAACCATTATATTAATTATACAAAAATTAATAACTATTAAATTGGTAGAATAATTGTTATATATCATTTTTTGATTTATATTAATTCAGAATTGACATCTGTTATTTTTGAATTTTATTAATCAATAAATAACCTATGTTACTTACTAATGCAAATATTAGATTAATTATATTAGCTAATTAAAATATAGCAGATTTAATTGATTAAAATAAAGCAGATTCTTATATATATAATATCTTTAAGAATAAGAAAATAAAGATTTATTTTTTCAGCTTTTTATTTTTTTCCAAAAATAGAAATACAAACATTTACCTTTCTTGTACATGAATTTTTTAAATAAATATTAGAAATATACATAAGTCAAAGAAAAAATAATTGATGTTAGTCAAAAAAAAATAACTAATGTTTAATGAATATAAATCATTATAATAAATACTTAAATGTATTAAAAATCTACTATTTTATATAATCTAAAATTTAAATATTGGATTACTAATATACTGGCAATTATAAATAATACAACAAAAAAAAATTTAGTTGAATCATATTATCTCACACAATTACAGATATATTTGTTAAATTTTATTTACAAATACTATCTTTTTTAAATAGCAAAATTTTAATAGTTGTTATTATTACCAATATAAAGATAATTGTAAATTTATTATAAATTATATGTTATATTATTTTGATCATTTTTGACAAAGATCAGATCACATGAGTTGTGCTACATAAATACATATAAAAATATAAGTTTCATTGTTAATTTTGTATCTTGTGTAATATTAGAATTGCTTATAAATTAAAAAAAAAAGAACTGTATAATTTATGCTAAATGGGCCCAAATATTGTTTTTTTTAAAAAAAAAATACATCACAAAAGCAGTAGGTTGGGCCTATTATGATAACTTTTTTACAGTCTCATGAATTAGAAAAAAATAGTTAGCAAACTATACACTTGAAGATTTAGGAAAGGTTGGTCATCTAACTTTGTTGGATAAACCAATGCAAAGAAGAATAGTAAATTTAATTATCACCCATTACTGTTCTATCACTATTAAAGTGAGAACCCACCTCAAAATAAATAAAGATATTGAAATTTTGGTGTTTACTATTCATTAGATACTTTGAAACCCTAGTTTAGTATCAGGAATAAAAGACTATGCCAGGGCATAGGATCGATTTTACTGTCATATAATTTCTGATCTGATGATTGATCTACTACATTACACATGCATTTTGTACTACAGATTTTAAAAATAGTGATGGCAAGTTTGTTATCAAGAATAATGAACAAATGCATTTTGTACTACAAATTTTAAAAATAGTAATATCAAGTTTTTATCAAGAATAATGAACAAAATGCATTTTGTACTACAAATTTTATTATTAAACAAAAATAGCAATAACAAGTTTTTCATCAAGAATAATGAACTTTGAAATATTATTATGAACTGAATATTTTACATTGAAAATTTTTTAGTGTTCTATTCAATAGATTCTGCAACAAAAAGATTTTAATTTTTTTCACATTTAAAAAACTATATATATATTTTTTTGTGATTTAGCAAGTTTTACTAAAGTTTTTATAAAGTTATGAAGTAAATTTAGCTAAGTATTTTTTTTTAATACAAAATACTTGTTTTTATTTAATATAGAAGGTACTCAAAATACAATAATAATCTTTTATTATATTAGGTATTGTTATTACTCAAGAATAAGGTCAAGGTTTGGAGTTACTCCATGTTGTACATAATTTTTTATAGCTTTTTGCTTTTTTTATATCTGAAAAATAGTAAAAGCATGGTTTAAATTATTAATAATAGATTTTACATGTTCCAAATTATTTACTATTAGTTCTATATTAATGTGATCAATCAAGCATTGTAATGCTACTGCTTTAGATTCAAAAATCTGGTATTTATTAGTAAGGTTTTCATACTCTTCATCTATATTATAGTATTCTATAGTATTAATCTGATTATATGTTCTAATAATTTCTATATTTTCAGTTACATTTTGTGTTTTACTTTTATTTTATATTAAAAAATGATAATTAGATTGTTGTTTGAACTTAGAATATATTAATTTAATACCCTTAGGATCATTTGTAATTTCTGATACTTTATGAATTAAATGTTTACAGATGAGAAAGTAATTGTTAAAAAATAATGGACAACTACAAATCCAGCAGTCTAAATCAATAAAATACAAATTATCATGATTTAATAATTTGATAAGGAGATTTTTTTATTGTTTTTTAAATTTATCAAACCATGCTGGTTCTATTCTACCATTTGCTAATTGCTAAAATCAATCAACCTAGTCAGGTATAACATGTGAAGAAATAATACAGATTAAATAGTCAAGTCATGAATGGTTAAGATATGAAAGATAACAGTGTTTTAAGACCATCCAATGTGCTTTGATTATATTATTATTTTTACCAAGTGGTATAGTTGTACAAGTAGAATGTGTCCAAAGGCACCATCTTATAGGTTTGTACCAAGAAAACCATAAATAGGATCATAATATTACAAGATTATTTGTAAAACAAAATTTATATATCTTTGAAACTGCTTTTGTTCTTATTTCAGTAGAAGATAAAAATTGTTCATTATTATTAATAGGAATCTTTTAATGCATATTAGCATGATTTTTAATTATTTTAACAACAGTATTACGAAGCTCAAGGGGACAAATAATATTATACTCATTATCTGTACATTGTAGGTCTAGAATAAAAGAAGAATCAACAAAAGTAAATTCTTTTATAATCTTTTCATAATTATAATTTGTACATTCAATTTTTTTATAACTTTTAAGCTTATTTTTGATTACTTTTTCTAGATACTATAGGCAAAGTTGTATATTAATTAAGGGTTATACATTTTTAGTAGCTATTATTTCAGTGAAATCTTTATCAAAGTAAAAGAAAGTTGAATTTAAACTCTTATTATAAAGAGTTTAAAAAAACTCTATAAATGTTTTAGTTTGTAATCCATCTTGGCTTTCATTTTTAGAAGCCTTTATTGTATCTAAAATAAGGTAAGCTAATGCAAAACCTACATCTTAAACATTACTAACAACTTTATAAAGCTCAAATTGTCCTTAGAAGGTTTTATATGTGACATTACAGTATATTTCTATAATCAGATTCATTAAGTAGGCATGTTGTAAAACTAATAGCTGTTGTATTATTCATATTAAGATGAAAATATAAGATACAATAATTATTAATTTGTTTAGTAAAAAACATATATACTGAGACAATATAATTTTTATCACTTTTATAGAATTGTTATATAAAATAGGACCATCAGTAATAAATTTGCTTGGATGTAACATTGGATATATCAAATTTTTTTTAGAAGTATTGTCTTAATTTGACAGAATTCAAATGTAAGTGTTTACAAATTTTTTGTTTAACTTCAAATAGCATTTCAAATTTAATGAGTTTATTATACAAAACTTTATGTTTTAATGTTATCTTTGCTTCTGCCACTGGTATATCAATTTTTATTGATATCTTGTCACTACAATTATAACAAAAGATTCTTTTTCAGATTAAATCTTTAAATTTACACTTAAGCTCAGAACTTTGAAAGTAAGCAAAGTAAGCATTTCTGATAGTATAATTATGAGCTAATAGGTTAAATGCAGTTGTAGCTCTATATTTACAAATATGTTAATTAATTAGTATAATTAAATACATGCTAGATATATGCTAGTAATTATTCTAAAATATTTTTAAAATTGTAATTTGAACAGCAACTATAGCTAAACAATATAAGATATATATAGATTTATTACATATGTTCAGTTGTAACTATTTCCTCTTCTATTTTATCAATTATTAATTTTGCTATAGTTTTGACATTTGAATCAGCATCATTTATCGTGGCTTTATTAAGCTGAATATAAAAGACAAGAAAAAGTTTAACACAATCTTCTAAGTCATTAATTGTATTCATGATATATTGACTAACTTCTTGTATAAGAATTATTTTGATAAAAGTATTTTCAATATTAAGGCTACTAATTAATTTACTTTTTTTTCCAGTTCTTGTAAATCTACATTTATTACAAGTTTTGTGGCTGCTACTATTAAGTATAAATTTTTCAGAGGAATGAATAGACTCACAAATGCTACATGTTGGCATTAGAGAAAGTATTTATTTTATTTATTCTCAATTAATTTATAGACAAAAAAATAGTTTTATCACTAATTATTTTTGAATATAATATCAACAATAGTTACTAGCAATTTTATTAATATTACTGTATTAAATTAATTGTAAGTATCAATTAACTTATTGTGTTAGTTAATTAATAATAATGTTATTTTATAATAAATATAGGTTTTGTATATCAAATTTAATTAAATGAAGTTTGAAAAAAACTAAAAATTTTTGGTAGCAAGTTAAATATCAAGATAATGGTTTAAATACTTTTAAGACCTTCAGGTTAATTATATTATTTAGTAATTTATTTGATTAATTCATAAATCTAAATTAGAGATGCTAAATTTGCTTAAAAGATAAAATAAATATTAGGATCAAAGATGCCCAAATATGATGATTTATTTGATTTTTTCGAATATTAAATTAGAGTATTCAAATGTTTAAACTAAAATGTACATATGATAGGTAATTTGTTTTTTTGAATTTTGAACTAAAAAGGCTAAAATAATTATAAAATATTTGGTATACTTTAGAAAAATTTAAAACCTAATTATAATTAGTTGTTTTAAATAATTATTATTAGTAGGATAATAATAATCAATTTAAATCAAAATTGATTAAAAAGATTATATACATATCAATTATAATTATTAGATTTTAATCAATTACAATTAGGTTTTAAAATTTTCTAATGTATATAGATAGATTAACAAATCGATGTATATGTTCATAAAATATAAATATTAAAAAATTAATTCATGTATACTATAATTTTTTTTTACAATTTCAAAATGTTTAATTAATTAAATAAAAATTTAAATCTTAATTTCTTTTGCTATATTACGCTAATTGCTTTTTTAAACATTAATATTTTATTGTATTTGTTAATTTATTATAGATTAGAATGTTTAAACAAATTATTTAATTCATTTGAATATCGAACCTGAGATACTTAAATGCATATGAGAATAAGTGATTATTTAGCAGTTAAATTCAAATGTAAATTATTAATTAAACATAAACTAAAATTGGTCAAAATGTGAATGTTATAAATGTTTAATTTGTATTATTTTATATCTTAAACTTGTTTATTGATATAAATTACTTGAATTAGTTATGCTGTTTCAAAAAATAGTTTTAGTTGATTATATTTTAAAGTAAATCTAATCAATTTTAATTTTATGCAAAAAAAATTTTATTATAATGTATATATAGTATAAGTATTTTTATAGTTTCAAATTTTGTTGCAGATATATAGCATCACTTTCTTTGATATATAAATACTTTTATTTATAATAAATAATAAATATCTAGTACAAACTGCACATGCAATGTAGCAGGTAGATCATTAAATCATCAGATCAAAAATTACATGACAGTAAAATTGATCCTATGCTCTGGCATAGTCAGAATAAAAAAAAACTCCTATCTGAATAATAGTCATTAAAAAATGAAGCTTATTTTTGTAAAAAAAATATGAAAAATGATTTGTCAAAGATTGGTCCAAGATAATTTAATTAGATAAGTCAAGGTTTCAAATTTTTGGGTCAAATAGTAAACAGTATTATTGAAAACATTTTAGTGAATTATTAAATCAGTTCTATATTAAATCTATATGAAATATGACAACAGGTCAATTATGGTTTAAGATTCTTTTACCTTTCACAGTATTGACAGCTATTATAAAATTGATGATATGATGAATACTGATTTATATTTAAAAATACTCTATGAAGATTTGATGTAGATGATTGAGGATCATGGATTTGAAGTCAATAAAGTTGTTTTTCAACAAGATGAAACATCTTGTTATATGACAACCTTAACTAAACATTAGCTTACAAGGAAGAAGGTAAAGTTTTTTGATTGACCTCCTCAATCAACTAATCTAAACACAATCAAATACTTGTTGGATGAAATTGATCATTGTCTTAGAGACCTCTCTGGTCAAATTTTAAGTGAAAAGAACCTCTAGAAAAAAATTCAGAAGGTTTGACAGGTAATTGATGTTGAAACCTGCATGAGGTTAATTCATTCAATGCCAGAATGAATCCATGATGTAATTAGAACCTGGAACAGCTACACCAGATGGTGATAACTGAAAATTATTAGAAAAAATTTTTTTTTATTTTACAATCATGTTACTGTTAAATGAGCAAAAATAATGCAACACATATATTGAAATAAAGCTCATGCCTTCCAAAAATTTTGATCACTAAATTTTTAAATCTTTTTTATTAATGATAATATTACTATTTGTGAATAAAATAAAATAAAAATTTAACAAATACGCCTGGAATTGTATAAGATAATACAATCCAGCTAAATTTTTTTTTTGTTGCATTATTTATGATTGCCAGTGTACCTTTAAAGTGTTATGCTTTGGTACAACTGAAGAGTTTTATTTACTTAAAATAAAAAAAATAATTTGAAACCACAAATTTGTTCAATAGAAAATTTTTATAAAATTATTTGTACTACACATCAAGAGACTGAACATGACGGCTAGAAAAGGATCTGGAAAAAAGTATATTGCATATGTCTTCATATTTAAATTGTATGCGGTCAATATAATTCTCTTTAAAAGAGTCACTGTCGCATTATTTTATATACATTTTTTTTTAGAAAAAATAGTTTTTTAAATACTTAGTTTTGAGAAATTAAGTTTATTATGAATAAATAGCTATGCATTTAACTTATGCCATTTATAAATTTATCTTTATAAATATATTCATTAATCAGTAAAATTTATACTGATTCCAAAACAACATATGTTATTTATAGATTTGTTAATACAATTTCAATTCCGAATTTATAGGAATCAATAAATGACACATAACATACCCTCTATAAGTACACATCTTCTATAAATGCATTCTTAAATTCAGGCCCAAATTGATACATGACCTTCATAAATGCACCTTTCTTATTGTTCTCTAAGTACACATCGTTAAAGTTCAGTCCCAAAAGCGTGCACTTATGAAGGTTTTACTATATCTATATAAAAATAATTTAATTTACTTCGCTATTTCTCAAAAGTGACCAAGGTAATCACCGATCAATGCACTAAGTAAAAATGTTCAGAATTCTCAAAAACCTCCCCAAGCCCCTAATTTAAAATTTAAAATCTAACCTAGCTTTAATATTTAAGTTAAAATTTTTTGCTATTTTATAATTTATTAAAATTTTTAATATGTTCAATAAAAAACTTTATCTGCTCATTTATCCAATAAAATTATTAGAACAATTAGACATTGCCCTAATGTTCAATGTTTTAATGTATCATATCTGGTCTAGAATGCTGCTTATATTTTTTCGTGTTTATTTTTTGACTTCTTCGCGCTGATACACGTAAAAAAAATTTCTCGATCTTGATTGGTTGATTTATACAAAAAATCACGTTGGTACGGGACCCAGTTTTTTATTAGAGGATGCATGCGAAATTTTTCATTAGTTATATAACGGAGTAAAATCCTATTTTTCAACCAAATTCATAATTATTTCAAAATGAAAATGTTACCGACCGAATGCCTTTTTGAAATATTTAATAATTTTTGAACTGATTATAAAAGTTTATTTTCATGCCTTCTTGTAAACCGTCAATGGTGTAGAATCATTGTACCAATATTATGGAGTGAACCTACAAATAAATTTAGCGATAAAAGACTTATAAGAATATATCTTTTAGCATTAAATATTGAAGAACAAGCTTTATTGATTCCCTTTAAAATTATTCTTCCAAATCATCCAAGGCTATTATTTCAGTATGAAAGTTATACTACATCTATTGGTTCTTATTTGGATAATGGAATCAAGGATTGGCTCAAAAATGAAGGATATAATGTAAAGTACTTCCAAAAAGATAAACTTTATAATGCTATCAGATGCTCTTTAGTGGAAATGTTTCTGCGAGCAAGTACAAATCTTAAATATTTAACGCTTACCAATCCTATTAATAAATCAACGTTAACAGATGCACTTTGCAAGAACAGCACGTTAACTTCCTTGCTTATTAAATATAGTAACCTTGGATCAGAAGGAGAAACAGCACTTACTAATGCACTTTGCAAGAACAGCACGTTAACTTCCTTGGTTATTTTATATAGTAACCTTGGATCAGTAGGAGGAACAGCATTTGCTAATGCACTTTGCAAGAATAGCACGTTAACTTCCTTGGCTATTAAATATAGTAACCTTGGATCAGAAGGAGGAACAGCACTTGCTAATGCACTTTACAAGAATAGCACGTTAACTTCCTTGGTTATTAAACAAAATAAACTTGGATTAAAAGGAGGAGAAGCTTTAGCAAATGCACTTTGCAAGAACACTACTCTGACTTCTTTGGTTCTTCATAATAATGAACTTGGGTCTGAAGGAGGAAAAGCATTAGCTGATGCACTTTGCAAAAACTCCACGCTGACTTTTTTGGTTCTTAACCGTAATAACCTTGGATCAAAAGGAGTAAATGCGTTAGCAGATGCACTTTGTAAGAACATCACTCTGATTTCTTTAGGTCTTCAAAATGATAATCTTGGATCAGAAGAAGGAAAAGCATTAGCAGGTGCACTTTGTAAGAACACTACTCTGACTTCTTTGGATCTTCTCAATAATGAACTTGGGTCAGAAGGAGGAAAAGCATTAGCTGATGCACTTTGCAAGAACACTACTCTGAATTCTTTGAATCTTCATAATAATGAACTTAGATCAGAAGGAGGAAAAGCATTGGCTGATGCACTTTGCATAAATACCACATTGAAAAATTTGGATCTTTGTAATAATAATCTTGGATCAGAAGGAGGCAAAGCATTAGCAGACGCACTTTGCATGAATACCACATTAACTTCATTACGTCTTTGTTGGAATCAACTTGGACCAGAAGGAGGAAATGCATTAGCAGGTGCACTTTGCATAAACACCACGCTGATTTATTTGGATCTTCATGATAATAATCTTGGACCAATGGGAGGAATAGCATTAGC